GCCTAGGACTTGTTTATCCTCTGAGCTTTATTTTTGAGAAACTCTAATTCATTTTCAGGAGAAGTGTCAAAGGATTGGGTTTGTGTGTGTGATTGTAGCTAGTTCACTCCAGAAGCACAGGCACGGACTAGCAGAGAGGAACAGAGATGGCCTGAGCAACAGGAAAGACTAGTTTTCAGTCCTAGTCATACAATGTCTTCAGAAAAATGGGCATAGGATTCTGCTCTCCACTATTCATTCTGACCACCAGATACTGTTCTTACTTCCCACACCAGTAAATCATTTGAATGCAAAAAAAAAAGCAAAAAAAAAAAAAATGCTCCTAGTGCTAAGAAAAGTGAGATGGCAAGAAGACAATGAGGCGTTGGGAAAGACATTGGTTCCAGAAATTGGATTCTAGGCATGTAGTGCCAGAATGGAGGACTTTTATTTAATTTTATAGAAAAATGTTCGGGTTATTTTACACTGAGATGTGAAATCTCATTTGCAGCTAAGCCCCGGAGGGAGTGAAAGGAACTAGGAGAGCTCATAAAGACAAACGTAATAGGATTAATAAGAAAAAGGCTGAAGACATAAGCCTTTATTGTAGGAACTCGGCGCTAAATTTTAGCATTGATGAAGGGTGAAATGTCGATACTTATCCAAACAGTTGTGCCTCAGGGTACAAAAACTAAAGGATGATGCCTTCATAGACTCATGCTCCTTGGGTAGGTTATATGCTCTTCTCAAATAAGGAGCCACTCTGATAGAACAAGGAGAAACCATCACTGTGTGGCAGCAATTCCTGAACCCTCATTCACATAAATAATTCTCAGAATGTATTTTATATTATTAAAGCAAAGTTTAGGGTTGAACAATAATGCATTGAATTAAGGATTGGAAAATCATTTGATAATCAAGGGCCTGAATGTTAAATTATTTGTTTATGTATTTACACCTCGAATAATACCAAATAGGCTTCTTAATCTAGAGAGTCAATTCATATGAGAGTTCCAAGTCACTCATGAACATGATTAGAATATAAGGTGGTAATCAAATTGCTCCATAGTTGCTTTGTTTTTTTCTTTTATAAAGGTTGATTGCCACAAAATAATTTAGGCTAAAAATGTGTCTGCTGAGGCCATTTAAGTAACTGTATCAAAGGAACATCATCAAGTTATTTCAACTGCACACTGGTGCCTATTGTCAGGGTAGAATTTGCAGCACCTGTTTTGTAACTAGATAATGATGTTGACTTTAGGCCAAAAGAAAATGAAGCCCTTTGGGGGTAATTTTAATCCCCAAAGGGCTTCATTCATTTTTTCTAATTTATGGTGCTGAACTGATTGTTTTTCAGCATTATTTTCCTTATAAGTGTATTTTTAAAGTATTGTTTTTAATGCAATATTAATGCTAATAAATTGACAGAAGCATAGCTATCAGGCGAAATAGTTTGAGCATTGTATACACGATCATCATACAACCATGGTTTAGAAATGGTGCTGAAGAGTCCTCTCATGCCCAACACTCTTGGTGCACTCATGACACTTTTAGGTTTCGTATTTATCATAATGGATATATACTATAATTACAGAAATATAAACTATATGAGGATATATATAAATTCTAGAACATGGAAATGTACACTTTGGTTTAAGGCAGCAACATATGTAGGAAGCTTTTTTAGTTTACATATTTTATATTTACATATTACATATTTTTAATTTACATATCTTTAAATGTAAACATTTAGAAGTTTGTTTTTGACAGTCTGATAAAAATATCCATTCCTCCCTATGCATAAGTAACACCAACATACTCTCCTCCTTTTATGAGGTTATCTTCATGAGGTGGTAGGATGGCCAAATCTTTTCTCCCTGTTTAATTCAACAATGTATTTCTGACCAAGAAACCTATACGTAAATATAATACCTTCTTTTAATGTATAACAGATTTCTTCAAATAGCAGTACCTGGTCCTGACATATCTATTAACAAGATAATTTTGCAAAGATGATACAGATTTTAATTTAGTTAATAGGAGTTCCTATTTGTAAATCTCCAAGGTATACAATAGAGTTCCTTTTGAGAAAGGTGGTCACTTAGTCTTTTAAATCAATTTAAAGGAGTTTGTTTAAGAAGATACTACCCTGATGGGTCACGTTTCTCAAGTCTCTATTTATTGTGACTATCACTGTGATCATGGCTATTTTTGTTTTCATCACCATTATCACGTCCCTGTCTTCAAGTTGTAGAGCTCCTGATTTAAAATGTTCCTCATGTACATGACCAAATATATTAGGACCAAAATATTCAGTTTGACTATTTCTTGTGAAGCTGTTTGGCTTCACATGCAGATGCTGGATCCAATATTTTGAGCATCCACCATGTGCTGGGTTCTAAATGAATCCCAGCCAATGTGAAGTACTGAATGTTCTAGCCCCATCATGTTAACACACGTCGCTTATAGCCTTAATTTTACAACTCTACTTACTGCCTTATACTTCTTGAAGATATGAAAATGAGATATGACCAAAATTTGTCCATTTTTATTTGAGTGGGTCATCAGTAGAGGCATGCAAATGACAAGGTCCTGTAAACACCAGCTACACTGGTGCCTGGGCTGCCTTAATGAGCCAATTGGAATAACTACATCCAATTCAAATGGGGACACAGGGATGAGGGCTAGACTCTTGCCAAAATCATGTTACTCCCAGCTCTCCAATTTTGTTGCATTTTTATTTGTACTTCCCCTTCCACACTTGACACTGATTATTCAGTGCATTTCTCCTGGAAATGCTTTTCCTCTGTCCCTTTATGAGTAAAACAAAACAAAAAAAAATCCTTTGATCTTTTCCTTTTCTCAACACTTCAGGACTTGCATTAACAGTTCTAGGGAGAGAATGGCTCTTTTCTTATTTGTGTAAAGGACTCATTGAGAAATGGATGATAGACCTGGTGACAAGCAAGAGAAAATGCAATTGGGTGCCTGAAGGAAGGAGGGAATATCTACCCTCATCTATCACCACTGATTAGCTACAGTGTGAGAGAGGCAGAGACAGAGAGAGAGAGAGATCAGAAATAACAAATGAATTCTGGAGAGAGGCTCAGCTTCGCTGCCTGTTTTTTCTGGCTTATCAATCATCTCCGGTGTGGCTGATAGGTGGTTCTGTCACTCCTACCTCCATCCCACCCACCAGAAAATCTGTAACTGTGACAGGCATTCCCCTGTCCAGTCCTTTCAGTAGCAATAGTAGATTCAGCTCCTGCACAAAATGTCTGAGAATCGGTGTCTTATTGTCTGATGTTTCTATTCTGATTTACCTTAGAAGCGTGTGTTAATGTGATTCCCATCCATTTGCTCAGGCTGTGGCCTTGCCAGTCCCTCCTTGGGGTGGATGTTGGCAGCATGCTTGTCATGTTTATCGTGCAAGCACAATGATAGGCCGACATTACATAAAACATTTATAGGAGGTGGGGTAGGGGTTGGGAGGGTCCATAAAACTGTTGAAGCCATCCAAGTGTGAAATGGAAAGATGAAGAAAGTGTTTTCCTAAAGCCATTTATATCTGTCATCTGTTCTGAGTCTCACTTGTAATGTGTCTCCTGTTCAGTCCCTTCTTCCCACCTTTGCTACTTAAGCTTTATCTTCCTCTGGGAAAACATATCTGGAGAGGCACAGTTGTAAAGAGAGTGGCATCTTTGTATACAACAAAAACTTTTGTAGCAAAGTGTTCTGTTGACATTGTACACTCTCCAAGGAATTTACTGGCTTGGCATTCATTTGAGCATGAACATGTGAGTGGTTACAAAATCACATGATTTGTCTTTTGAAATGTGTATGAGAGAGAACATGTGTGCTACCTGGCTATGTTTGCTATGAAAGAAAATCACAGCACTTTATACCACTCTGTAAGCACTGTTCATTTTCTTCACCCTGATCCTTGGTTCAGTTTCCATTTTTCTCTAAATTATAGAGAACAGAAACCTTAATCTCACAGATTGATACGAGTTCTCAATCTGCACAGGCTAACTCTTGAGTGTTGATTAGCTGTTCGTGTATTTTGCATTTGTCCTTACCGAAAATTTTTCCTACTCAAGACTCGGATGAGCTTCAGTGAAGAGGAAGGAGAGGTACTGACACTCTGTGCTTCTATCAGTCAGACAGCGACTCATAGGATTTCCACTTATTTTCTTTTGATCCTTGCAGGACCAGTGTGAATTGGGCATCATTAGTTTATCTTATACATATAGAAAATGAATCCTAGACACGAACTAAAGAGACTGCAAATGGTCTCTTCCTAGTTTTACTACTGACTCTTCTGCTATACAATGATGCCTTGATTGTCTGCTATTCCCTTGGGCTCCTCAAGCATGATGTGCCCGTATTAATGCTCAGCTATCCCTTTGGAAGACACTCAATGGCCCATGTCTTTGAATGCACCTTCAGGAACTTCAAATTTAACCCTCAACCTCCTCTCAGCTCAAGTAATTCAAAGATAAGACTATAAAACAGTAAGAATACAGCTTAAATGAGTAAACTAGAATATATACATAGAGCTGATTATTATAGATTCTTATGCCATTATTCTAATAATATTATTGCCCATATTATGAAAAATTTTGGGGGGGAATATAATTATTTTATGAATCACAAAGAAAACTTATTACTTTAAAATCATCCTTTATTTTTCGATCCAAATAGTGTTACCCAAGTTGACCACTCTCGGTTTATTCAAGACTTGATTCAAAAATCACATTTTTCTCATTGTAAGAACATTCTGGATATGAAAGTTCAGGAGTTCTAGGGTATATAGCCTGGTTCAGCCATTTACCAGTTGTGTATTCTTGTATCTTTTCATTAATATCTCTGATTCCCAGTTTTCTCAGCTGCAAAATGGGGATAGTGATGTATAGGGTTCTATGAAAACTAAACTGTTGAACACCCAGACCACGTCCACCCTGCGAGCACAGAGCCTCACCCTCACCACTCTGCCACCTGTCCACACCTGCCACCAGCTCACCATGGATGAGGATATGGCCGCACTCATTGTGGACAACAGCTCCAGCATGTGCAAGGCCGGATTCATGGCTGACGATGCCCCCAGGCCATCTTCCCCTCCATCATGGGGCACCCCAGGCACCAGGGCATGATTTGGGCCTGAGTCAGAGGGACTCCTATGTGGGTGACAAGGCCCAGAGCAAGATAGGGATCCTGACCCCTGAAATACCCCACTGAGCACGGCATCATCACCAACTGGGATGACATGGAGAAGATCTGGTACCACACCTTCTACCACGAGCTGCATGTGGCTCCCGAGGAGCACCCTGTGCTGCTGACCAAGGCCCTCCCGAACCCCAAGGCCAACTTAGAGAAGATGACCCAGATCATGTTTGAGACCTTCAACACACTAGCCATGTACATGGTCATCCTGGCTGTGCTATCCCTGTGCACCTCTGGCTGTACCACTGGCATCATGATGGACTCCAGTGATGGGGTCACCCACACTGTGTCCATCTACGAGGGGTATGCCCTCCCCCACGCCATCCTGCATCTGGACTTCTGGCTGGGACCTGACTGATTACCTCATGAAGATCCTCACCTAGCATGCCTGCAGCTTCACCACCATGGCTGAGTGGGAAATCCCGTGTGACATCAAGGAGAAGCTTTGCTACATCACCCTGGACTTCGAGCAGGAAATGGCCACAGCGGCCTCCAGCTCCTCCCTAGAGAAGAGCTATGATCTGCTGGATGGCCAGGTCATCACCACTGGCAATGAGCAGTTCTGCTGCCCCAAGGCATGCTTCCAGCCTTCCTTCCTGGGCATGGAATCCTGTGGCATCCATGAAACTACATTCAACTCTATCATGAACTGTGACATGGACATCCGCAAAGACCTGTTTATCAACACAGTACTGTCTGGTCGTACCACCATTTACCCTGGCATCGCTGACAGAGTACAGAAGGAGATCACCACCCTGGCATGCAGCACGATGAAGATCAAGATCATTGCTCCTCCCAAGAGCAAGTACACCATGTGGATCGGCAGCTCCATCCTGACATCACTGTCCATCTTCCAGCAGATGTGGATAAGGAAGCAGGAGTGCAACTAGTCTGGCCCCTCCATCGTCCACTGCAAATGCTTCTAGGTGGGCTATGACTTAGCTGTGTTACACCCTTTCTTGACGAAACCTAACTTGTGCAGAATACAAGATGAGATTGGCATGGCTTTATTTGTTTTTTGCTTTGTTTTGTTTTGTTTTGCTTTTTTGGCTTGACTCAGGATTTTAAAAACTGAAATGGTGAAGATGACAGTAGTCCGTTGGAGGGAGCATCCCCCAAGGTTCTACAATGTGGCCTAGGACTTTGATTGGACATTATTCTTTTTTTAATAGTCATTCCAAATATCGTGAGATACGTTATTACAGGAAGTCCCTTGCCCTCCCAAAAGCCAACCCCACTTCTCTCTAAGGAAAATAACCCAGTACTCTCCCACGTCCATACAGGGGAGGTAATGGCATTGCTTTCATGTAAATTATGTAATGCAAAATTTTTTTAATTTTTGCCTTAATACTTTTTTATTTTGAAAGATTTTAGCCTTTGTGGCTGCCCGATTTTTGTCCCTCAACTTGAGGTATATGAAGGCTTTTGGTCTCCCTGGGAGCGGTGGAGGCAGCCAGCACTTACCTGTACACTGATTTGAGACCAGTTGAATAAAAGTGCACACATATACCAAAAAAAAAAAAAAAAAGAAAATTAAAATGTTAAATTATGATTTAATATCTATTAAGCACTTAGCATAATACCTACTATATTTAGGGGTTAAGTAAAGGCATGATAGTTTATTTACTTTAAAAATATGATTTTAAGAAATCACTAAAAATTCCAAAGACTGTCTACTTAATTATTTAAATCAATATCAAAAGAGAAATGTAAAATGGTCAAATTACTTTTATAATGTTATAACACGAGCATATTATAAAGGATTATGATTTGGTTAGGGAGATATGTGCCTTGTTAAAAATTCAATTCTATTATTTATAGCCAGTTAGACTCACCAAGCATATGTTGGGTGGGCAATAAAGAATGGTGCACTGAAGTTATGGTCTGTCAATACATTTAAATTAAGATTGACTAGAAAATTTGAAACATATATACAAAGAACATAAGAATGAAAAGTGTATATAATTATTATTTACTAATGCTTTATACATTTTTTTACAGTTTTATAATCAGTGTATCCATTTTTAAACGAAAAACCCTTGAAGACAAGTAACATTTATTTCTATGCACGGTGTCTTGCATGGAACACACTGTGGCTATATTTGAATAAGTCTTCTATTCTGGCCTCCTCTGAATCAATGTCTTTCTATGTTTATCTTTAAAGATGTCTGGATATATTAATCCTTTCAACAACCACACTAGATTAATGGACAAGTAATTAATTTTTTTTTTTTTTTTTTTGAGACAGAGTTTCACTCTTGTTACCCAGGCTGGAGTGCAATGGCGCGATCTCGGCTCACCGCAACCTCC